GCCGTAGCCAGTTCCTTTTGCGCCCGAGGCAAGAATGGAAAATTGTGCCCCCCCCCCAACAGACGTGTGCGGTATGCGACGCCATGCGCCCCCCTCCAGAATGGAGGCGCACATAGTAATATGGGTCCATGAGTGTGAGTGTGTGGGGGGGGCGGGTTTGTTTTTTTTTATACATTTTTATTATTTACTTATCTACTGTTGGGGGAGGGGCTTTGGGGAAATATTAGGGGTGTAAACAGACCCCTGACATTTCCCTATTGAAATAAAAAAAGAGATTGAAGACATGGAGTCCTCTGCCGATACAGGCGGGGGAGAGCAGCGTGGATCCGAGGAGAAGCCGGAGCCCGTGCCGCTCCTCTTCTCCCTGCCGAGCTGCGGCTGTGTTGGCCGCTGGTGCCCCTGTTGCCAATGGCACCCTGTGCTCGCCATGGCAACGCGGGTGAGAGGGCGCAGTCAGGCCGGCCCTGGCTGCGCCCCCTCTCAGCTGCGCCTGAGGCGAGTGCCTCACTCGCCCCCATGGTAGCTACAGCCCTGGGTACAGATATCATCTAATGCTCTCTGGGTCCATACCCCTGGCTGGGACAGGTCTCCAGTCATGTTAGCATACCCCCTGAAGCCATTATACCCGGGTATTGAGGGACATGCCCCGGCGCTCATTGGTCCACATTTTGTACGCTCACCTTGGACCACCAGCTTGACACTATCTTGGGATTGACCGAAGCGGCTGTTTGCACGGCAGGTGTAGACGCCTTCATCGCCACGATCCAAGTTTACAATCCTGCGGGGAACAAAAGCAGCAAAAATTCAGGCACTTTACGCCCTTCATTGGCATTCATAGCCCGGGCCCTACAGAATACACCCTTGTGTCCCTTACAGAAACGCCCTTCATTGGCATTCATAGCCCGGGCCCCACAGAATACACCCTTGTGTCCCTTACAGAACAGCACTGATAATACAACATGGGCAGTTTCACGAGGACCCGCCAACTGCATACAGGTCTCATTCCCCTGCTCCTGTAACAAGTCCCACACTGGGGGTTTCATCTTTGGTGAGGTACTTACAGGCAGGGGCGTAACTAGAAATCACAGGGCCCCGTAGCAAAATTTTGTATGGGGCCACGTGACTCCTAGTTACGCCCCTTGCACAGCCCACTTGAGATCCGACGCAGCCCACCATATACTCTCTATGGTGGGCTCTGCAGGGTCACCCTCAGGTGGGCAGGTCACACTCCTTACCTGTCCGCCTCCTCTTCCTGCACGATCGCTGATGGGCCCCTGCCTCCTCCTCCAGTCACCGGGCCCGCCTCCTTCTCTGTCAATGGGCCCCTGCCTCCTCCTCCACTGCCGGGTCCAGCCTGCTCCACCGCCGCTGCTGCCGGCTCTCATTGACTCCGCAGCGGCTGTGAGAAGATCTAAACAGCGGCGCATTCTTCTCACAGCCACCAGCATAAGATGCCATAGCGACCCGCGCGGCATCTGGCCGGGCCCCCCTGTGCCCCGGGCCCCATAGCACTGCCCCCTGAACACTGTGATTTGACGGGAGGGCTCCTCCTTCTTTCATCCACCGGATCCTGGCCCTTGGATCTCCGATCACACTACAAGTAAATTCTGCTGCGGCACCGATCGCCTTCGTGTCTATCTGAGGCGAAACCCGCACAGAAAATTGTGCTGCAGGAAAGGATAAAAAAAAAAATGTCAACCATCAGCTGATCCTGAACACCGGCCCTCTGCAGCCCGACGCCGCCACAGGCCGACTTACCCAAAACACTGACTTGGGCGGTGGCCTCGCTTCTGCCCACTTTATTGCTGGCCACACAGCGGTAGGTGCCGGCATCTCCGGTTGTCGACTGACTGACGATCAGCACTCCCTCCTGTATGGAAGCCGAGTCTGAGAGAGAGCCGTTGGCTTTGGTCCACTGGTATTTAAGCGGAGGCGTGCCATGCGCCAGGCACTGTAACCGGATGGCTTCTCCCACAGCCACGGACAGCTCATCGGGGACGGTGGTGGCATATGGGGGATCTGTGGGAAAATGGAACATACGTCAGTAATTATAATGGGAACGTTTTCACCGGAGGTCCTTCTCTGCCATCTAAACACTTACTCTCCACATCCAGGGTGACGAAAATCTCCGAGTGCCCATTAGTGTTGGAAGCGTTGCAGATGTACTGCCCGGAGTCCTGCTGGGCCACTCTGGGGATGATTAATGTATTGTTGACCACCTGGTGCTGCCAGGGAAGAGGAGCTCGGAGTTTGGACCATGTGATCGTTGGAGTTGGGTTTCCTGTATGACAAAGTCAAGGGAAATGAGAAAGAATGTGTTAGAGAACCCGATTCCCAGTGATAACTTGGTGAGCAGGGGGGAAGAAGTGGAGATCCTCATCAGGGTCACCGTGAGAGCGGCACACCTCCACTGCGTAGAAGTCCATACCTGTAGCACCTTTCTACGAGACAGCCGAACCTCCAATATTCATGGCAAGCACCCCCCCAAGTATTATACGTGAAATAAAGATTTCTATTCCAGACATAAAGATCCCCGAAAAACTCAGCAACGTGATAAGATGACATCACAGACTCCGCCCATGCCGCTCACCTGTGGCAGAGCACCTGAGGGTGGCGCGTTCCCCAGCCAGCATGACGTGGACTTCCTGGTCTGCTGTGACTATGGGAACTCCAGGCTTCACCACTCTGTTCTCCACTCGGACTTGCACGTGGACTTGCGCGGTACCGTCCGGGTTTTGCCCGGTGCAGGTGTATGATCCGGCGTCCTCGGCCTTCGCTGATGGAATCTAGAACAGCGAATACATCATGTGATAACCTTTCTCCCACAGATGGGAACGGTATCTGGATATGGAATGTACCAAATCCTGCATCATGTGTGGAACACTAATGTGCCAAGAAACTGTTTTATGGAGGAACTCGGAACATGCACGTGTAGTGATCTATCCGAGCCAGACCAGCCAATCAGATTATCTTGCTTGTGGTGCAAAGCAAGTCACAGCGATGATATTGCGGATAGACGTACGGCCCCTGTGACATTGGCGTATCCAGCCACAATAGAATACGATGCATCACTAAGGTAAGGAGGGGCTCTGACCTGTAACATAGCGTGGCTATCCAGGGGGGCGTGGCTATGCTGTTTGATGATCTGTCTGGATCCGGTACGCCGCCAGTTGACCACTGGTCTGGGGTCTCCCATTCCATTACATTCCAAGCTAATCGTATCGCCTACATTCACTGTGATGGGTCCCGGTGGGATCACAGAGACGGTGGGCCGTCCTGCAGAACAAAAAACAATGGAAGGATGAAAGGGTCAGTCTGTTCATAGAGAGCCAAGGTCATTATAATTCAACAATAGAGACTTCTCCATAACTATTGCACCCTCACAGAGATGATGTCACCTCTCCTTTGTGTTTTTTATTCATCACTGATATTTCATAAGGAGCTCTGAGAAGATCATGGAATGGAGAGAAGCTCTGAGAACATCATGGAATGGGGAGGAGCTCTGAGCACATCATGGAATGGGGAGGAGCTCTGAGAAGATCATGGAATGGAGAGAAGCTCTGAGCACATCATAGAATGGAGAGAAGCTCTGAGAACATCATGGAATGGAGAGAAGCTCTGAGAACATCATGGAATGGGGAGGAGCTCTGAGAACATCATGGAATGGGGAGGAGCTCTGAGCACATCATGGAATGGGGAGGAGCTCTGAGAAGATCATGGAATGGAGAGAAGCTCTGAGCACATCATGGAATGGGGAGAAGCTCTGAGCACATCATGGAATGGAGAGAAGCTCTGAGAAGATCATGGAATGGAGAGAAGCTCTGAGCACATCATGGAATGGGGAGAAGCTCTGAGCACCTCATGGAATGGAGAGAAGCTCTGAGCACATCATGGAATGGGGAGAAGCTCTGAGCCCATCATGGAATGGGGAGAAGCTCTGAGGACATCATGGAATGGAGAGAAGCTCTGAGCACCTCATGGAATGGAGAGAAGCTCTGAGCACATCATGGAATGGAGAGAAGCTCTGAGGACATCATGGAATGCAGAGAAGCTCTGAGGACATCATGGAATGGAGAGAAGGTCTGAGCACATCATGGAATGGAGGGAAGCTCTGAGCACATCATGGAATGGAGAGAAGCTCTGAGCACATCATGGAATGGGGAGAAGCTCTGAGGACATCATGGAATGGAGAGAAGCTCTGAGCACATCATGGAATGGGGAGAAGGTCTGAGCACATCATGGAATGGAGAGAAGGTCTGAGCACATCATGGAATGGGGAGAAGCTCTGAGCACATCATGGAATGGGGAGAAGCTCTGAGCACATCATGGAATGGGGAGAAGCTCTGAGGACATCATGGAATGGAGAGAAGCTCTGAGCACATCATGGAATGGGGAGAAGGTCTGAGCACATCATGGAATGGAGAGAAGCTCTGAGAACCTCATGGAATGGAGAGAAGGTCTGAGCACATCATGGAATGGGGAGAAGCTCTGAGCACATCATGGAATGGGGAGAAGCTCTGAGGACACTTACCTTTTACCACCAGCGTCACAGCACTGTCTACTGCCCCGTAGATGTTGGAGGCCATACAGCGGTAGGAACCTTGGTTCTTGTGGCGAGCACTGACAACAGTAAGGACAGTGCCATCCGAGCTGATGTTGACATTATCTTCAGACACAAAGAGAGGAAACAGAAAGTCAAAAATGTAGTTCTTCTTACGGATGTAAACAAGCAAAGTCCAAGGATCAGTCCAGGGATCTCTCCGAGGTGGACTTTGTTCTTCTATAGATTTCCCGTAGGTGCTTCAGGTCTGTCCCAAAAATAAGCTTCCACTCCAAACGAGCCCCAATGCATGTAACTGCCAGAGAACGCGTTGGCGTCCGTAGGACCCCCCGGGGGCAGAAACTGATATAAACAATTATAAGCAGAACCAGATAATCCATAAAGGCAACCTAGGCAGGAGCCCAGGGCCCGGTGGATGTCCAGGGGCCCCAGCTATACAACCTCAATGCTTCTAAACTTGGGAGATTGCCCAACTCATAAAGGACGTGCACCTGCCTGTCTCTTCACAAGGGAGGTTACATTGTACTTGGAAGCAGTTGGCGTTGGTTAGGCCACGGAGGAGGAGGACCAACGTCCCATCCAGGCATCTAGTACCCCCTGTATACAGAAGACAGTACCTTGGATCGGCTGGTTACTTCCCATTTTCCACGTCACGCGGATGGGTTGAGCACCTTTGTGGATGTGGCATTTAAAGGTGGCGTTTTCCCCCTGGAGCACGGTGGCGCTGTGGGGGTTAATGGAGATGACCGGAGTCTCCAGACCTGGAAGACACAACAGCTCATTACACCGGACAGCCGGCGAAGCGCGCTCCGAGCGCTCTGCACCGGGACTCACAACATGACTCACGGTAAGTCTTCTGGGCCCCGTGATGGACAGAGAGGACGATGGAGCCTTTCAGTATCTCGGAGCCGCTATTGTACCGGCAGACGTACTCTCCGGAATCGGCTCGGGAGGCGTGCAGAACGCGCAAGCGGGAACCCGAAATCTGAAGTAGAGGAAAGAAAAAAGAAAATATCTTTATTGGTCGGGGGAAAAAACGGGAACAAAAGCAGAAGATGGAGGCCTGGTGGTACATGGTATCACCTCTCGGGACCGGCACCTGAATTGTGGGGCCCGGATTACACCGGTGCATTGGGATACTGCATTGTAAAACATGCATGCTACAACGCATGGCAACGCATTTCAGTGCCACTTATATGGAACAGCACCCCCAACGCACTCACACAGCCTGCTGAAGTGGATGATGACACAAATGGGAATGATGTTCCATTAAATAAACACAGGAGGGGACAGCCACCCGGCGGGGATGAGGTATGCCGCCGGGTCCCCTCCTCTCTCTCCTGATACCCGGGTCCATAACTGAGCGCCTGACTTTTCAGAGGGGGGTGACACCAAAATGACTGCCAGTAATTTTGGTGTCACCCCTCCAATGGTGTCACCCGGGCCGCACCCCCCTTGTGACATCACTGAGCCGACGGTTCTTTACCCTCACCTGGTGATTTGGAGAAAACTCGGCCTGCGGACGCATCCAGGTGACTACGGCGTCGGGATTTCCAACAACCAAGCAGTTCAGGTCCACCGTCTGACCCTCCGTGACCGTCCCCGGGTTCTTCTCAATGAGGATGGGCGATGGGGTGTGCGCAGGCGCTGCAAAAGGAAGAGAAGGGTTACGGCTCGGCCCGGCTTTGTCTGCTGCTTTCCTGCAGTTTTCACCCACTTCCCGCACACAACGCGATACCATGTCAGCTGACATCTCATGACTTGTCTGTGAACGGATCATCATTGCGGACAACTTTCCCCCTCCCTTCCCCCGGCTCAGACCGAGGAGCGTCTCTGATATAGAAGTTTCTCTGTGTTGGCTTTCACGGCCTCTTCACTTTTGGGGGGGAAATTGATTTAAAGGAGAACTACGAGGCGGGTGATTGTCACTCAGCCTCATAATCTGAGCCGAACCGGTGACAATGAGACTGTCGCAGGTCGGCTCTATAGATCGGGAGGTGAGGGAACACATACCGGCGTTCGCTCACCTCTCGATCCTGTCCCTGCAGAGAGCCGTGACTGTCACTCACGGCTCCCTGCAGGCATTCCCCCCCTCCGATCCTCCAGCGCTGACTGGCGGAACGGGAGGGGGCAGGCACAACTCTAGATAGGCGGAGCCAGCTGTCACTCACGCAGGTGGGTGGAGCCAGACATAATTGTCGGGATCCGCTCCGGCTGCGGCGGTCTCAGTATACCGCGAGCTGTAGCTCCCTATATACTGAGCCTAGGGTGACGGGAGGACGCTAGTATATGTCCTCCTGTGACCCTGAGGAGAACTATGGGGGAAAGCCCTGACCTCGTACTTCTCCTTTAACAAACACTGTCGCATGTGAAGGAAACCCTCGTTCTGGAGTCCGTTTCCTCAATAATATATATAAGGAGCAAAGACTGCGGATTACAGACCTTGTGCCGCGTATTGCAGGTCCCAGACTCGCCCATTCAGCTGCGCTGAGGTTATTTTGGTACATTGCCGTCATGAGGACATTGAGGGACACAGAGGAGGCCGTGGTCCTCAGAGACACAGAGGAGGCCGTGGTCCTCAGAGACACAGAGGAGGCTGTGGTCCTCAGAGACACAGAGGAGGCTGTGGTCCTCAGAGACACAGGCGCTCTTGTCTGAGGCTAGAATGTGCGGCACTGAAATGGCACGGAGAGGAAGAGGGGGATCTGGACAAAGCGGGACTTGTGCAGCGATGAGATCATTATTATCCATCTCCAGTCATTTCCATTTCATGTTTTCTCCCAAGAGAGGGAAACGCTGACACTGCGACTCCGGCATCCCAGCCACATGTACGTAACTAAACCTAGTGGAATGGAGGTGCCTGAAATCAGAGTGCAGGGCTTACACCCACCCACCGGTCTCTGGCTGACCGACCAGCCTTGACCCGGTAGTCTCCAGCTCTGTGGAAGGATAGACAATGAGGATGGTTCACCTTGTGCGGTGCGTTGTATGATGACGTTAATGATCGCCTCCCGGACGCCGGATCCGGTGTTCACTCGGCAGATGTATTCGCCGGAATCAGCTGGGGTGGCTTTCAGGATCCGCATCCGTGGCCCCGCGACCTGTCACGCAACAGTCATAGTATGAGAGGAGAGGACAATGAGCAGTATAACTTACTTGGGGCTGGACGAGTATCGGGAGCCGGGCCGGCAAAGCCTAACACAACCTTGCCCCGGACTCCATACTGGGGGCCCGTGGTTCCACAAGACATTCCGTCTCACACCGGTATTCTCAGCCTATATCTCGGGAAAGCTTTACAACCATGAATTGCCCTCACCTGGTGATTTGGAGGTAGAGGGCGGCCCCCCGGCCGATGCCAGGTCACTGGGTGGCTGGAGTATCCGTCAATCAAACAAGTAAGTTCCACATGCTGCCCCTCCTCCACCGTCTGTGATGACGGCTCAATGCGAATAGCCCCGGAGAGGCCAGAGTCTGGAAAAGAATTGCCGAAGAATCCCACTGAATCCACCGCTAGGAGGACATCCGGATTATGCTTCACCCATCCCCCAACCGTCCCCTACCAATGAATGGCGTGGCAATGTTCTCCATCATACTCACTATGGTGCGAGCCTTCAATGGTGACCATGATGGAGGCGGCCTGGATGCCGTTGCCGCTGCTGATCTGGCAGATGTATTCTCCGGAGTCCCGGGGCGATGCGTTGACGATGCGCAGACGGGAGCCCGACACCTACACAACAAGAAGACTGAGCGGCGCGCTGGATGGGGGACACCGGCGTCACCGGAGGTCTCCCGAGAACCGTACATACCTGGTGATTGGCTGACAGAGGCTGGCCCTGTCTGTACCAATTGACCTCCTGATGTGTTAGACCTTCAACATCGCAGTTCAGGACCACGGTCTTCCCTTCGGCCAGCGAGTCGGACGGAGACTCCACCCGGATTGTCGGAGTGATGCCGGGGGCTGCGGACAAGACGGGTTACTCAGCTGCGGCGGGAACAAGGAGACTGACCTGGAGCTCGGCGCGTCATACTTACAGATGGCCGGACCGGTTCTGTGGGTAATGGTGACCGTAATGGAGGCCTGACGGGTGACCGTTCCGGAGGTGACGCGGCAGATGTACTCCCCGGAGTCGGCTACAGACGCCTGACCAATCCTCAGACGGGAACCCGAAACCTGAAGCCATAGAAGAGCGTCATCACCACACAGCCAATCAAATCACTGGGAGAGGATGACATCACTGAGGGACGTCATCAGGACGGACAGATACGCCCTATGCCTCACACCAGTCACTGCACCAGAGGAGCTTACACTCTAATGTCCCCTCCCCCCACATGAGTCTCTGTACAGAGGAGCTTACACTCTAATGTCCCCTCCCCCCCCACAGTCACATCAGTCTCTGTACAGAGGAGCTTACACTCTAATGTCCCCTCCCCCCCCACAGTCACATCAGTCTCTGTACAGAGGAGCTTACACTCTAATGTCCCCTCCCCCCAGTCTCTGTACAGAGGAGCTTACACTCACTTACCTGGTGATTGGAGGAGAGAGGTCGCCCGGTTCTTTGCCAGGTCACGGCAGCGTTTGGCTGCCCGGAGACCACACAGTTCAGCTCCAGGGTTTGTCCTTCTGTCACCGAGCTGGAAGACGGTTCGATCCTCAATGCCGGGACAAAGCCGGACGCTGGAACGAAGGAGACGAGATTGGCTGTAAAATACGCTGAGAGCGGCGGCGGCGGCGGCGGCAGAAATGGCGGCGCTGATACCCCGGGAAGTACTCACGGTCAACGGATACGCGGGAGACGGTCACGAAGGTGGACGCCTGCTGAGTGATTGCGCCGGCGGTCACGCGACAGACATACTCGCCAGAATCTGCTGCTGAAGCTTGTAGGATCCTCAGCCGCGAACCGGACACCTGACCGGGAGAACCAGATACGAATGAGGATTACACAACCAAATGATCCCACCATACACCGGAACATGACCTTGTGCCGAGAGAAGACGGGGGGAGGGGTGCTAGAGAGATCCGGGGGTGCTACCGATATAAGCGCCGAAACCCCAATCTCTTCTCTCGCTCCCGGTCAATAACCAGATTCCTTTCATGATTATCTTCATGATTTAGAGCAGGGGGAGCCAAACTCCGGCCGCAGTGGAACTACAAATCCCATGAGGCATTGCAAGATTCTCACAGCCACAGACATGACTCCTGAAGAGAGATGCATCATGGGATTTGTAGTTTTCACCAGAGTTTGGCTACCCCTGAGTTAGAGCAATTAGGCCGGGCTGAGAATTTGCAAGTATCTGAGTCTTCACTCTCAAGTTGCTAGAACTGTCATCTTGCCCCTCAGGGATAGAGGCGTGTTCTGTAACTCGCTTGTATTCTCTCCCCGTCAGAGCAGAAATGTCAGCCGGGGAGTCAGCTGTCCCCAGATTGGATGACTTCCTTCCTGCCGGGGCTCAGGGCTGAGAACCGGCAATTGTCTGGCCTGCCGGAGGAGAGTTATTCATCATTCGGGTTTTCATTGTTCTAAAGTGTTTGGAATGTCTTTTAGCAGCATTGAGATAGGACAGCCTGGCGCCGCTACTCTGACGGGGAGAGAATACAAGTACATCGCTTATTTCTGATGAACACCTGCAAGGTAACGGAGTGCCATCATCATCATCATCACACTCCAAGAGAGGAGGATCACGATATTACAAGTGATGACCAGGTCTCTTAAAGGAGAAGTACGAGGTCAGGGCTTTCCCCCCATAGTTCTCCTCAGGGGAAGACACAAACTAGCGTCCCCCCGTCACCCTAGGCTCGGTATATAGGGAGCTACAGCTCGCGGTATAACCCTGCCCCCCCATACTTCTCCTTTAATGTTTCTTTATCTTTGTATCTGATTGGTGACAATTATTGAAGACAATGTATACATTTGTTGTGTCACGGTCAGACCTTTTATCACGCTTCCCATTTCCTATACGTGACCCCCCCTGACCTGTCACCCCATTGCCCGCGTTTGACCCTCTAAAAGGTCGGCAGGTGGCACCCGAGAACGGCCGACGGTAACTTACCTGATGGTTTGGTGAAAGCGGAACTCCTGGTCTGTGCCATGTGACCACGGCACCGGGAAAGCCAGAAACCTGGCAATCCAGCTCCAGGGTTTGCCCCTCGACCAGCGAGCCGGAGGAGGTCTCGATCCGGAGGACGGGAATGTTTTCCGGGTCTGGGGGAGAGCAAAAAATGTTCTCTGCTGCCATCGGACCGTATCACAGGAAACGGGAAGTAGAAGGAAGCGAGGTTGGAGAGCGAAAGAGAAAAGGGCCGAGAAGTGCAGATGAAGAATAGAGAGAGCGAGGAACATACAATTGTCCGTACAGCAGGAGACACATCCATGTAGAGGCGGCACACGGACCCAGCGACATACGAGAGAGAGAGTGATGGAGGAGCGAAACCCAAAACTACGGGAGACAAACTCAGGCCAGAAGAGGGACCGGGGACACGAGAGGGAAAACATACCAAGGCAGACACCAGAAGAAGGGCCAATAGGTGGCCAGACCGTAGAAGAGTCTGTACACGCGTGTGTGCACGTGTTGTGTGTTAGAAGTTAGTGCCGAGGACATGTTATAGAGCCTTGGTTCTCAACTGGTGCGTCGTGACCCCGTGTTCAGCGGGTCCCCGCGTGCCTTCCACTTTTCATGGTGAGGGGCTCCTCAGCCTCCCCCTAGCGCAGCGCTGTCAGTTCTCGCGCCGAGCCGCCATTCAGAATATGCCGCCCGGTGCCGAGTGTCACCTTCAGGTGGGGCGGGGCTATGGCCACGAGAGAGCTCCATCCATGCGTGCGTTGCTTACAGCTCCCACGCATGTCCTGTAGAGGAGCCCGGACCGGAGTGACGTCACATTCTGGCTCCCGGCACCTCTAAAGGGCACGCAAGGGAGCTGTACCAGCATTGCACATAGGGACGGAGCTCCGTCACAGCACAGCCGCCCACACCGGACCCGGGATGAGGATCCGCTCCACTTCTCTGGAGACTGGGGGGGGGTGGATCTTAAATAACTAAATTGTTTTTTTTTTGGAGTGTGTCTGTGTGTGTGTGTGTGATTGTGTCTGTGGTTGTGTGCTTTTGAGGGCCCATTCACACTAGTACAGCGCGTAAGTCGCGCAGTCCCGTACGATTAACGTGCTGTACTTCGCAATCGCACCTACCACGCGTTTTGGTGTGAGAAATGCATTGCCATTCATTTAAATGGCACCCCAAATGCACCTCCCACCCAGGGGGCGTCCCGAGGCTGGGTGCCGGAGCGGTAACCGAGTGTCACCCCGCCGAGACCTCACCGCGCATGCGCGTGAACGTCGTCGTCGTCATCATCGCGCACGCGTGCGGCAGTATTCTGATACCTGCCGGCGGCCATCTTGGTGATGGACGCCGGCAGAGAGAGGAGGGGACAGTCACCCGGCGGGATGAGGTATGCCGCCGGGTCACCTCCGCTCTCCTGATAACAGACATAATTGTCCCGGCTGCGGCGGTCTCAGTATACCGCGAGCTGTAGCTCCCTATATACTGAGCTTAGTTTGTGTCTCCCCGTTACCCTGAGGAGAACTATGGGGAAAAGCCTTAACCCCCATAGTTCTCCTTTAAAGACAAATCTGGGTCCCGAGGTTACGTAGGTTGAGAACCGCTGATATAGAGGATTTGTAGGGCCCCTCAGATGACCCGTATCTGCAGACTATCACACCCAGGCTACAGCATGCCCAAACAAAGAGGAATACAATGGCCGTGCTGTTACCCCTGGACACGAAGCATTACAAAGAGATAACGAGAGGCAACGAATCTACAAACATGGGATTCACCGGAATGTAGGAATGTCAATGTGTACGCAGAGGAGAAGGAGCAAAGACTGATGTAGGAGGGTCGGATGAAGAGACACGACAGAAGAGTTCAGGAGGAAGGGACACAAAGTCATCAGTGCTGCGGATGCTCCGAGGGGCGCACCGGGAACAACAACTTACAGATCGGAGCGCCGGGGCTACGGGTGATGGTGATAACAATGGAGGCCTGCTGTGTGCCAAAGCCATTAGTGACCCGGCAGACATATTCCCCGGAGTCTGCGGAGGAGGCTTGTAGAATTCTGAGTCGGGAGCCGTACACCTTAGAGAGGAATGAGAGACCAGACATGGGGGGAATGAGCAGAACCGTCACATTGGATAGAGCTGAAGATCTCTGACACAAGACGCCCATCATGGCTTCATATCCCAGTCCTAAATCACGTGGTGTCAGAGAGTCGCTGAAACTTTATTGTGTCTGAATTGGCCTTGTGGGACCCAATTTATTATTCTGTGTGACACGTCTGATATAGTGTCATAAAACCCATTTGGGTTAGGGCCCCTAGAAGCCCACATAGTGTAGAATGGGGTTCCCCAAAGAAGGAGCTCCCATTGCAGAATACAGCACCAGCTATTACATCAGGCGGAGAGACGGGTCAGCTGGCTGGTTCTGATGAGTATGTTTAACACATATTTGACATAGTTACATAGTATTGAGGTTGAATAAAGACTCGGGCCCATCAAGTCCAACCTTTGATACATTTTGTTCCTCCTATAAAATCTCTGCAGTCAGAGAGGAGCATGGACGGAGGTTCACCTATGTTTGTGTCTTTCCCGGGTCAGCATGGGCTGGGGACAGGTAACATACGCAGATGACAATTCTTAGTCCATCTGAACTAACCATCATTAGCCCCTCCCACCGCCACAAGGAGAAAACCCAACCACTGCGTGCATTGCACAGAACCCGGACTGTCCCGAGTATCAGATCTTCTATCCAGATAGACAAGAGCACTTTCCTGCATGGCCAGACGTATGTATACCGACCTCCTCCGAAAGATGGAGTTCAGGGGTTTCCAGTAAAGGTTCCGGTAATACTACAAAGACATTGTCCTCCTCCAGCCTTGTGGTCACAGTTTGGTGAAGACCCTTTTCTGTTCCACCCCATGTGTCCCCCTGTGTACAAAGCTCCATACAGACACGGGGTGACCAGCTTGGTGGAGGAACTCGAGTGTCCTGCACAGAGCCCCGACCTCATCCCTACTGAACATACCTATGGAATGAATTCTCATCCCTACTGACCACCACTGGGATGAATTGGAATGCCGATCGTGAGCCAGGACTTCTCATCCATCATAGTGAGCCGGGACTTCCCATCATCCACCATCAGGACCTGACCTCACAAATGGGACAAATTCCCATAGACAAGCTCCAAAATCTTGTGGAAAGTCTTCTCCTAAAGAGTGGAGGATGGTATGGACATCTGATCTATCACAATCTCCTCCGCCATGTTTTCCAGGATGTTCCGAGTCCTTCTTACTTTTATTTTCTGTCCTGAACCATTAAATATTTTTAGATGTCCTGATTATATAAATAATTGGAGATGTTCGCTGTTGTGAAACATCTATATGCCCTTCTGCTTCCGCGTGACCCTTTGGCTGGGGTAACTTGGGCTTTTTTAGACTTTGTGTTTTACCTGGTGATTTGGCGAGAGTGGGCGATCCGGCCTGTGCCACGTGACCACGGCTTGCGGGTACGACGCCACCACACAGTTCAGCTCCACAGTCTGTCCTTCCTGTATCGTGTCAGATGACGGCTCAATCCTCACCAGAGGAGCCGATCCAGAGGCTGCATAACGGATACAGAACGCGTATGAGGGGGAAAGGAGCGCGGTTCTGGCCATAGGATTTGCAGCCATCATCAGCATGTTACATACACACACATGATACATACATCAGACACTCAGGAACATACAATACAAGTCTTGCAGCGGAAACTCACCTCTCACTACAATGACTTCAATGCGGCCCTGCGCGGTGCCAGCCGTATTGGTGCCAACGCAGAGATAGGTGCCACCGTCGGCTGCAGATATGGAGGGGATCACAAGGGTGGCGATGTCTGTCCTCTCTGTGCGAGCCTGAAAATCACACATACAATCCGATGGAACCAAAGGTTAGATGTCATTGCAATGCACTTTTGTGTGTCTGTGCTAAAGCTGACAGGTAAGAGATCTCAGACCCCACTATAGAGAGTCTATGGCGGGCTCTGTGGGGTCACTCTCCGCTGGGGCTCTGCCACTAGCAATCACGGGGGCCCCATACAACATTTTGCTATGGGGCCCTGTGATTTGTAGTTATGCCCCTGACTGCTGAGAGCTAGGACGTTGGAAACAGCTCAATGCAAAATGATGACCGTTGTGTATCTGGGGATTATGGGCGCAGATACCTGCAGCTCTTGTATCCGTCTGTGGATGGCTTCCAGGCTGCTGCTTCGAAAGTGAAGGAAACCGAGAGAGGAGAGGGCCTGTGCGGAGTGACAGATCGCCGCCGGCGTAGGGAGGAGGAACAGAAAGTCAGAGAGAGTGAAACCAGAGGGAATGGGTTAGTCGAGCTAGGAAGACAGGACAGAAGGCTGAAGAAAGACTTTGAAGGCCCAGATAATAGCCTTGGTTCCATAGAATAACTCTACGGCTGGGGAGAAGGGTATGCTGGATACCAGCGAGCACTCAGCGCCAAGCAGCTGCTGCAAAAGCACATACATCTGATGCACTTAGAGTACTGCCCCTGTATGAAGCACTGCCAAGGCCAGATCCAGAATATGGGGCCCCATTCTGGGCACAATGCTGTAGGAAGGATCGGAGAATGTATATATAATGAATATAAAGGTCGATGTATAGATCCTGGGAAATGTTCTTCTTTTATTTCAAGGGGACATACAAATGGTGAAAGGACAATTCTACCACCGTCATAGGAAGGGACTCATGATGGGAAGAGAGGTATGGGAGTGGAATGCTCTGCCGCATGATGGAGTCATACCAACGTTACTCTTCCAGCTAATCATATCCACAGTTCTAATCCTTCTCTCACTCTACAAGGGAAGTCACGGCAGGAATTACCTCCGGAATATGATGCGTCTGCCCCGGTAGAGTCAGGGACACGGTTGGGTTTTTTTTTTGTTGTGCTTCACCAAGTGTCTTTTTTCAGCTCCTGGCGAGCAATTGAAACAAGCAAGCATTTAGTACGGAGGGTTAGTAAATCATGCTAGGGGACACCTCGGACAAAGCAGAGCACAGTGTGCAGGAGATAAGGAGCTCCATCATTGGTCAGCCGGGATATATTTATCATAGCTCCTCCACTACACGGAGTGATCTGCATAGACCTGCACAATCTGCAAGTGGCCAATCTTCGGCAGGATTCAGGATCAGGAGGAACCAACTCGCAGACTTACCTGTGGTGGTAGAATGCCACCCTGCTTCCTCCAGGAGATTGTCGCCATAGGACTGCCACCAGCTCTGCAATACAGGCGGACTGTGTCACCTTCTCTGACTTCGGTACGTTCTGGGCTCACCTGGACAACTGGAAGATTCCCACCTACTGATACATGGGACACAAGGACACAAGATGAACCTCTATACTCATATTCACCTCATACCGACAAACTACATTCATGCAACAAACGTTTCACATATAATGTAGCAAAGTCAAGAAGGACTGGGAGAAGAGCTGTGATCTCCAGCTGACCAAGGCCTGGTAGAAGAGCTGTGATCTCCAGCTGACTAAGGCCTAGTAGAAGAGCTGTGATCTCCAGCTGACCAAGGCCTGGTAGAAGAGCTGTGATCTCCAGCTGATCAAGGCCTGGTAGAAGAGCTGTGATCTCCAGCTGATCAAGGCCTGGTAGAAGAGCTGTGATCTCCAGCTGACCAAGGCCTGGTAGAAGAGCTGTGATCTCCAGCTGACCAAGGCCTGGTAGAAGAGCTGTGATCTCCAGCTGACCAAGGCCTGGTAGAAGAGCTGTGATCTCCAGCTGATCAAGGCCTGGTAGAAGAGCTGTGATCTCCAGCTGACCAAGGCCTGGTAGAAGAGCTGTGATCTCCAGCTGACCAAGGCCTGGTAGAAGAGCTGTGATCTCCAGCTGA